AAAAATAAAAGGTAAAATTTACTTATCGCTCTCTTGAGTCTGGTCCAGCCTGTGACTTGCTATGACCAACAGAATAAGGTGAAAATAATGTTGTGGGTATCTGAGCCTACATATCAAGAGGTTTTGCAATTTCTGCTCTTGCCCTTGAGATTGCCATGTTTAAAAGCCTTCTCAAGGATAAGTGACAATGAGGGAGTCTCAGCCAAAGCCATCACTAAGTATCATACGTTTGAGGAAGGTCACTTTAGCTCATCCAGGCCTGAGTTTGTCATCAGATGACCATAGTTGCAGGAATGACCATAGGTGAGAGCAGCAGGTCCCCTCAACCCAGCCAACCCAAAGTTGTTGACCCCCAGAATCATGAGCAAAGAAAATATGTGCTATCTTTAAGCCACGACGTGGCTTGTTATGCAGCAGTAGACCACTGATACAGGAGCCCAGGAAAGAGTCTTGAGAAATTCCAGTATTTAAATATTAGGTAGAGAGAGGCAACCAGAGATATAGGAAGAAAATCACAAAAGTCTACTGTCACAGTAACAAGGAATAAACCCATAGAAACCAAGGAAAGTGTGTTTCAAGAATGAAGGAATGCCAATAGTGTCAAATGTAGGTGAAAGGTCAAAAAAGATGAGCTGAAATTTCCTATTACATTTAATGACACGAAGTCAAGGTCACCTAGTGATGTTTGGAGCAGAGGAAAGTTGTTGATAATAAGTTCAGTTTTAGATGGGTGGATATAAAGCACACCTGTCCAGCATGTTGTTAGAATGTCTGAGTCTGACAAATGTCTGAGTCTGATAAAGCAATAGGTGGATGAGAACACAGGGAGACCACATAGAGCAGACTCCGCAGATGATATTGGGATACACTAAGAGGTTCAGAGTGTGGGCTCAGGTAGAAAACATCACAAAGAAGGCCCTGATTTGGAACTGGGAGAAAGAAGCACATGAAACCTAAAGGATAGGGTTAGTGATTCAAAAAAAGGGTGAGAAAAGTACCCGTGTCAAATGCAGAAGAGAGCTCTAGAAAAGCAAGAACCAGAAGACACCCCCCACCCCCATCCAATTGAATCTGACACCTTTGCCAGATAAAGCCAACTATGAAGTGCTGACTGAAAATTGGTATATGGATGGTGATAGTAAAGGGAATCCTTTCAGAGAGCAGAGAGCATAGTGGGAAGGGGAAGGACAGGGATCCAGCACTGGCATGGGAGGTTTGCTGGAGGGCTGAAGAAGTGCACATATGGAGGTAAAAATGTAAACAACTATCAAATTAGGAAGGCAGGGAGGAAGGGTAGGAGAGGAGAAGGAAGCCTTGAAGAGAGAAAGGGCACTTTCAGGTACCAAGTGTTTTGAGTTTTGATTCATTTTGTGTTTTAAGGTATTTGGGCAGTGAAAAAAATAAATGTGACACTCTAATGGAATATTTTCCCCAACATTTACTTTTTCAGCTTTCATGAAAAATCCTTCTACTTGTGTGTAGTTTTACAATATCACCATTTATCCCAGTAGTTGGTTTAATTCCCAGATTTGTTTCCTTTTTCCATTTCAATTGTAGGTTAGCTGATCCCTGATTAAGTTGGGGAAGGAGAGGGCATTTTTCTCAGTTGGGGTTATTTTCAGATCATAGAAGAAGTGTCTAGTATACCAAGAGTTCCCAAATGATGCCACAAAGTAAAATTCCCAGATCAAATAAATTTGAGAAAGGCTACACATTAAAAAATCTTCCTCTGAGGGACTGATAAAACACACATTAGCATATTAAAGCCTCTGAGACTTCCTACCTTAAACAAACAACACCACCGCTGTTTTACAGTTTAAAAAACAAATTAATTGGGGGGGGGGCGTGAGGTGAGGGAAGAAATGCTTTTTTTCCCCTGCACATTATTAACATATCAGATGACTATCCCCTTGACACCAGTTTAGGAACCCCTGCTGTAGCAAATTGATTCTACCTTTGTGCTAAGGATTCCTATGAGGTCTTACAATAGAGGGGTTATTCTCCATTTTATCTCCACATTCCCTCCGGTTACCTTGGGGGCATTGAAGTCCTCCCTAGATTTTCTAGAGTGAAGAACAGTATGACGCTGCCAGTTCTTGGGGAACCCTTTATAAACACCAAAGCCAGAGGGGAATTATCAAGAGATTGGGCTGAGATAAAGATGGTTAAGGAGAGGGTAAAAAGAGGTATCTTTAGTTAAAGCTAACTAAAATTCCCACTTTATGAAAGGATTGGTCATTTATTAGGAACTTTCTGTGAGTTGAAAACAGTATCAAAATGCCTCCTTACATGTCTGGAGGAAGCAATGAATTCAACTATAAGCTCTTTAAATTAAGACACAATTAGAGATGGCAACATTTTAAAGTTCTGATGAAATAAAGAATCATCATAGAAATGGGTAACTTACCTTTTCTGTGTTAAAAAGAGGGAAATTGTGGAGCACAAACACAGTTAGTGGTAGGTAGGTAATTTGCGAGTCTTCAGAGGGACTGAGAAGTGCAGAGAGCAATGTGGTTCAGGATTGTCCCAAGGGGGAAACTTGATGGGGTCTAGCCTGAACTGGCAGCCAACTATCTCCTGCCTATCTGATTAAAGTGATGATTTAAGCACAACAACCCTTTTTAAAAAAAAAAAAGATTGCTACTTCACATATATACTAGTATTTAAATTTATCCACACATCAAGAATTAGAAAACAATCATCATTTACATGGGGTCTAAAATAACAATGTTTTGGCTCCAGGCTCCCTCTACTGTCTCCGCAATAATAAACAAACACATTATGGTACTCTCTTGATTAGATTTCTATTGTACCATTTATGAAAATCAATACAAAAATGATCTTATGTAATTATAAATGATATCTTCAGTATAATAATAGGAAATATTTAGAGAATGCTATAAAAATTATAAGCCAGTTAACAAAATATTTATATAGATAGAAACATATGAAGTCATTGTTAGACTGTTTTTTAATCCACAAATAGCAATTTCATGAGTCAATCTAACATGAAAATTAAATTGTCAAAAGCAATAGGGAGGGTGTACGTATTGTGTCTTGGGGAATGGTTGTTACTTTAATAAATAAGCTCATGAAATTTCCTAAACACATTGACTAATTTACATGTTTCTAGACCAAAATTACTACAGAATATTTTAAATCCAGTGCCTTATGGGAATGTATATATTATAACTTGGCTATAGAAAAAAGAACTCTGCCTTCAGGTTAAAAAGTGTGAAGATATAAAATGTTTCTCACAGGAAGGTCGATGAAAGAACTGTAAAAAAGCCATATGTTTACATGAGGAAAGCTGGAAATAAAATAGTTAACATTTTAACTGAGAAAGGAGGAAGTGAGGCAATTTGCATAGACTTCAAACAATCTCACACTATTGAGAAAATCTGCAAATCCTGGAAAGAATTAGAAGTACAAGCTAAAGTCAATACACTTCAAATGCCCTTGATGTTTCACAGTCACTATGGAGAAAGCATCTTCTAGGTAAGTTCACACTTTGCACAAAATAAATATTAAATCTGTTGTTGGTAATTTTCAAAAAGTTAATATTTTACAGCCAGATTTCTCTTTCTTAGATTAGCCTTTGAAGCTGGAAAGGGGCTGTTTGAAGTTTTGTTTTCACAGTCCTAGGAATTCAATCTAAAAATTAAAGATGCCATCAAAGATGTATTTAAAAAGATGTTCATCAGAACCTGTTATAATAGTTACTGTTCACCATTAAAGTTTTATGCCTAGCATAGTGCCTCCTATATAGTAAGCACTCAATAAATATTCTTGAAAGAATGACTTAGAGGAGAAAGTTGGAAATTTCCAAACTGGGGAGTAGTTGAATAAATTATGATTTACACATACTATATTAATATTGTATGGCCATCAAAAGTGTTTTTGAATACTTTTTAAAGACATTGGGGAAACTGGAGAAAATGTTAAGCAAAAAGCATACTAACAATATATATACTATGTAATACAGATTTATAAAGTAAATATGTGCATATTTATAAATAATAAATATGCACATATTTACACACATGTGTATATAGATATACTTACATTTTAGGTATGTTTATATAAATATGTTTCCTTATATTTTTGTGGAAAGAAAAAAAGGATTAAAGGTTATTTAGGTAAAATGACTGGCAAAGTGCCTGTTTGAACTCATGATGGTTATTTTATTTCTCTCTGATGATAAAACAGAAAAATTTCATTCTTGTAAAACTTCAGAAACCTATCTCTAACTTTTGTAGGAGTTGTTAGTGGTATAATACACAAAAGTAAAGCACAGGAATGTACTAAACAGTACTGAATAAACTCAAGTACTGAAGGCACTGAATAAATTACTAAAACTACCTAATGAGGGTTTGTTCTAACAAAGGGGAAAAACTGTAACAAAACCAACACTCATACAAATTTTGAATCACCCCACAACTACCTTTTATTAAACTCCATGATTTTTAATTTCAGATCTAAATGTGAGCAGGGCATCATAAAAAATGTTAAGTAACATTTTGTATTTTCCTGGTTATAAAAGTAATACATATTCATAATAGACAATGTGCAACATACAGAGAAACACAACACAGAAAATTAAAATCACCTTGGTCAATTTTATTTATCCTTCCAACATAGTTCTGTCCTTTTTTTTTTTTTTTTTTTTCCAATTGCTGTACCTCTAGTGCCTAGAACAGTGCCTGGCATATCGAATAGTATTGGCATACTCAATAAATGTTTCTTTTATTATGAATGAATAATAAAATGGGAGGAATAGCTCCACTATTTACTAGTTCTGTGACCTTGGACAAGTTAGTTAATTGCTCTAATATTCAGTTTTCTCATCTGTAAAATGATGTTGGATACTACCTCATGGGTTATCAATGATATTAAATAAGTGAATACAAATAAACCATTAAGCACATGAGAAGGGCACAATAATTTGTAGTCATTTTTACATAAATGATCAGATTTTTCTTGTTTTTTTTTTTAAATAGGATCCTGAGCTTCTTGTGAAGGTAACCTGCCAGAGACTTTGATATTTAGGTTGACTCCACAGGTAAGTCAGATTCACAACCTAATCCTGAGTAGATCCTAGCTCATTCATTCATGGCCATCAAATATGTTTTGAGAACACTACAGGCACTGTGCTAGGTGCAGAGATACAGTTTTGTATAAGTAGACATTGTTCTGTTATTAATCTTGCTTAAAGAGAATTTATCTTTAAAGTATTGATGGAATATATATATTTATCAAAGAATCTAATATAGAACTATTATTTTCATCTTCAAAAGTTTCTTGCAATCTGCAGAATGATGTTTAACACTTACAGCTACCCTGAAAGTAGGGACTTTTATTCCTATACAAAATATTAGAAATAATAGGGGCCTCCCTGGTGGCGCAGCGGTTGAGCGCTGGGTTGCAAAGCTGCCCGCGGCCTCTGCGGCGCTGGTTCGATCCCCGGCTGCTCCCCGGCCACCGGCCACCGGAGGCGGGTCCCGCATGGCGCGCAGACCTCTCCTGCCGCCCGCTGCTCCTCTCAGCAGTGTACTTCGGTCCTTCTGCCTGCTCTGCTCCCCTCTCTGGCTCTGGTGAATTCTCTCACCCTCCCGCGCTTCTGACTGTACCCAGTGCATGTATGAACAAGCAAAACAAACAAACAAATAAGTAAATAAATAAAACATGCCTCTATAAAAAAATATTAGAAATAATAATAATAGCTAAGAGTTATTTATCAATTATCATGTGCCATGCTGTGTGTCAGGGTCTTATCTTCTCATTTCAGTTCTTAGTTTACCAAAGCAAAGAGTGTATATTGTGCCTACTTTGCACTTGAGGACCCTGTGTACTCTTGGTTCCTGAAATGGTCCAGTTGGTTCTAATTTAAAACAATAATAATAATGGGCCTCCCCGGTGGCGCAGCGGTTGAGCGCTGGGTTGCGAAGCTGCCCGCAGCCTCTGCGGCGCCGGTTCGATCCCCGGCTGCTCCCCGGCCACGGTTCGATCCCCGGCTGCTCCCCGGCCACCAGAGGAGGGTCCCGCTTGGTGCGCAGACCTTTCCTGCCGGCCGCTGCTCCCCTCAGCAGTGTACTTCGGTCCTTCTGCCTGTTCTGCTCCCTGCTCTGGCTCTGGTGAATTCTCTCACCCTCCCGCGCTTCTGACTGTACCCAGTGCATGTACAAACAAACAAACAAATAAATAAATAAAAATACATGCCTCAAAAAAAACCAATAATAATAATAACAGTAATAATAACAATAGCAACAATAAATGCCATTTATTAGGAACCTTCTAAATGTCAGAGCTTTATATACTCGAAGCTCGTGACCATCTACCAAGGTATTTATTCACAGAGGGCCCCTAACTCCAGAGGTTAAAGAGCGATTATACCTCACATCATGTTTTTACTTCGTGAAATTCGAATCCAGATTTGATTCCAACAAATGGCTTCCTTCAAAACACGTTGCTTAGCAACAAATCGATCCTTGTGACTTCCCACATGCCAAGTAGAGAAAAACAACCAATTTCTGCCTAGAAATCAAACTAGAGGGACGATTAGATTTTCTAATAGAAATGTTCCCCCTCTCCCTTCTGTCACCAAAGCTGTTAATTAAGCAGTAAAACCTCCCTGTGGCCAAAGTCAATTTCACAACCTGGGACTTGCCCCAGCTGTTAGGAGAGGCGGGTTTCTGCTTCGAATCACTTGACTTTGCTTTTAGGGGAATCTGGAGTCTAGAGGCACCCAAGAAACCCAAAACCTCAAGCAGAACAAATCCCGCGGGGGACATTTATCGTACACTTCCAGGGACACCCTTCCTCCCAACTTAACACTCCTTTCATTTTTTTTTTTTTTAAGATTTACTTATGCATACAAGAGCCTGGGTACAGGCCAGAGATGTAGGGGGTGAGAGGATTCACCAGAGACAGAGTGGGGAACAGAACAGGCAGACTGACAGAAATACACTGCTGAGGGGAGCAGCGGGCGAGTCAGGAGAGGTCTGCTGCGCCATGTGGGTAGCTCCCTGGCGGGTCGGGGATCGAACTCGTGCTGCAGAGGCAGCGGCTAGCTTCATAGTGCGGTGCTTAACCCCTTGCGCCACCAGGGAGGCCCTTAACACTCCTTTTAGTCCACACATTTAAAATACTATCAAGGCCACAAGACCTTTTCTCTCCTAGCCGAGAACTTGCTCAGGTATGGACGACAAGTCCAACTCGCCTTCGTTTTGCCCTCCTCACAGTAATCAGTGAGCGGGCGAGCCTGCTTGGGAGAGTGAACGCAACCAACCCGTCGCGCGGCTGGAGCCCTGAACCGCCCGGGGCTCCGCGGGCCTGGCGAGCTGGGTCGGCTTGCGCCCGCCTCACGCTCAGCCCCTCGGCGGGTCCAGGCTCGGCGCCCGGCGCCCTGGGTCCCGCGCCCACCACAGCGATCCGGGCGAGGCCCACGCTCCCGGCACCGCGCTCTCCCGCCCTCCGCGGCTCCGGGGGCCCGTTCGCCCTCGCCCCGCCCCTGCCCCTCCCCCGCGCCCTCCCGCGCCCGCCGCGCGCCGTCTGGTCTCCATGGCGACGCGGCCTCGCTGGCTGGTTGCTCCAACTCCCTGAGAGGCACCAGCTGGGAGAGCGCGCGGCGTCTGCTCCTCGGGGGGCCGGCGCGAGAGGGCCGCGAGTTAGTTGGTAAGGGCGCTGCGGCGACTGCGGGCCCTGCTCCCTCCACCCCTGAGCGCAGCCCGGCCCAGTTCGGCCCCGCCAGACCCGGCTCGTGAACCGCGAAGCTCGCTCTCCCGTGCAGGTTCGGCTCCCGGCTGCGCCCGCGGCGTGCGAGAAGGTAGGGCGGCGGGGAGGTACGCTGCGCTCAGGATTTGCTCCTCCCGCTGCCGCCGGGCGCTGTGGAAAGAGTATTTGAGTGTGAGTGGGTGTGAGCGGTGGCCCGGCGGTTCTGGCAGGCCTGTCAGCACCAGCATTCTTTGACTGAGTTCGCAGGAGCCAAGTTCTCATTTCTTCCTGCCACCCCTCACTCCCCCAACAAGCAAACAATGAAAATGAGCAAATACCATCTTAGAACTTTGGCCACTTTCCCCTTTAAAAAAGCCCTTAAGAACTTTTACCTCCCTTTTACTTCGTTTTGGAAACAACTTAATGGTCAGTGGGGACCAGCACTTGCTGTAGTTAAGACGTCATTACTCTCTCTAGACTTAACTTGCTGGGTCATAAAAATTCCAGTGGAATTTGGACAAATTCAGTATTTTCAGACCTTGTTTTCACCTTTTGTGTGAGCGGCTAGACCACGGATCACTTTTAAGGTCCAGTCTTTCTACCTTCTGTGAAAGGATAAAATTGACTTGAGATTTACGAAATCAAAATATTGTGGTCTCTTAAATACTCAAATTATCCTGTGCCTTTAGCATTTAAATTAACACATGGCATAATTATGAATGTAACGTTTGGCCTCCCAGAGGGCGTAGGGAAATTGCATTCAATTCTGTTCTTATGCCCAAGAGACCCGTGGAAGCTGGTTTTTAAAGATAAAGCCCAAAAATAAAAGACGCTGAAAATGTCTTTTGATTTGTTTCATTCTACGAAATTCTATATACAATGATCCCAAAATTCATTTGTTAACTTTTTTCTAAGTGAAAAAAAATTTTCAATCTCATGAAAATATGAGCACTGCTGAGTGTTACAAGTTTACCAGAACTGAATTCCAACAGTTGTGGGGATTCCACTGCACCACTTCAGAATTCCTACTCCCATAAATCACTTTAGCTAAATTCTCAGTGCCTTCACCCCCATTTTTAGCCCATCCAATCTCAATTGTACACTTAGTACAAGCTTCCTTAGAGTTTTCCTTCAGTATTGTCCTTTCCAGGAGGAGCAGTTGTAATTACAATTGTAGTAGGTGATAAGTAACTACTATTATGAATTATTTATATAAACTGTCACAGTAACTCTATGAGGTATTATTTTTATCCTCATTTTACAGTTGAAGAAAGTGAATCAGAGAAGTTAAGGAACTGGCTCCAATCACAATTTGCTGGGATTTGAACATAGACAATCTGACTCCAGAACTGTATTACTCTATATAGGAAATATAAAATTTGTATGTAGTTACTTTTATTTTTTTCTTCTATTTATATATATATTTTTTACATCATTGTTCATTTTTGTATAGTTTGCTTTCTCTTCCCAGGTGTAGTCCCCATAAAATTCCCACCACCAAGACACCATAGTTTCTTGGGCTCTTCCCACCCCTGTTTTAATCCCTCTCCCTTCCCTTCCCCTGCTGAATGTTCAGATTTATAGTTGCCTGCTAGTTTGTCTTTTTTTTTCCCACCCTGATCCCTTATTTGGTTCTCTATATTCCTTCTATAAGTGAAACCATCTGATATTTTTCTTTTTCCTTCTGACTTATCTCACTGAGCATAAACCCCTCCAACTCCATCCATGTTACTCCAAATAGTGTGAGTTTATCTTTTTTGATTGCTGAATAGTATTCCATTATGTGTATATACCAAGTCTTCTTAATCCAGTCCTCTGTTTTTAGGCATTTAGGTTGTTTCCATATCTTATCTACTGTAAACAGTGCTGCAATAAACATAGGAGTGCAGGTTTCTGAAAGGTACCACGCAGTAAAGAGCAGCCAGGCCAAGCATCCTCAGGGGAAGGGAAAGTTTATTGCTCCCGGGGGACCCAAGTTGGGGGTCAGTAAAGCCTCCCACGATGTCAGGGGGATGCAGGCCTTTATAGGGCGAGGAGAGGTCAGGTGGGAAGTTGGGCTCCTATGGCGGGAAGAAGTTTGTAGGACTGGAAAAGATTCGTGGGGCAGGTAGAGGTTCTTTGTCTGAGAAGAGACCCTTAGGGGGAGGGGGGAGGCTCATTGTCTGAATCCTCCAGGCAGGTTTCTGCATTCCTGCCCCGAGGTGGGCTTCCTGGTAGGCTTTTGTATTCTGGCCTCATGCATGGACCTTTCAGTTCCTTTCAAATTAATGTTTTTGTGTCCTTTGGGTCAATTCCTAGGAGTAGATGTAGTTACTTTTAAATACTGATGGGATAGATGATCATTGAAACCACTTAATACACACTTAAGGTATGTAATGCAGTAGTGCCCAGTGTCCTTTTACGTTTTCCCACAAGAATAGAGAATGGTGCTTAATCTCTCTCTTCACCATAGCTGTAGGACCTGAGCATGTAGTTATCTATTAATTCATTCTTTGTCTGTTGTAAAACAAGGTCACTTATAAAAGCAGGAAGCACAAAAGTATAAAATAATTGTACAGATGGTATGAAGAAAATATGTCTTCTATTATTTTAAGAGACACCTAAAGTGAGAATTTTGTGAAATCTGAAACTTAAATGTTGATGGAAATCAACTTGACCTCTTGGGCTTTGGTTAGTGAACAGTTGCCTAAAGAAGTGGGAATATGAGTGATTAAAAAATAAGTGGTATATTCCCACTTTGTTGTTACTTATACTTTATAATCCAGTGTGCATATATGAAGTTGAACTAATCACATTTAGAGTGCTCAATCACTTCATATGCTAATGGTAACAGACTGGACAGTGAACACTTAATTTAATATGTTCTTTTCCTTTGCTTTTTGTTTCCTTCCTTTCCATTCCATTCATTCCCATCACTACCTTCTCCACATCACCCCTCATTCTGTACCCCCCTTCTCCCATACTGCTATATCCACCATGCCCTAACTTCCACATAACTTGGTTACTCAACTCTTTCTTGAATTCTGGTTCTTTTTTTTTTTTTTTTTTTTTTTTGCCTAGGGTAACTTGGTCATGGTTTCTGTAACTTGCAACTAAGTGTCTAAACTAATATAGTTAAGAAATAAGACCACACCCCTTTTTAAAGTAGTGAGCTTATGATGACATGGAGGGGCTCTAGGCAGACAAAATTCTTTTTTTATATGTATTTGTTTATTTTTAAAGGTTTGTTTTATTTATGCATACAAGAGCTGGGGTGTAGGCCAGAGGTGTGGAGGGTGAGAGAGTTCACCAGAGACCGAGTGGGGAGCAGAACAGGTGAAAGTACTGAAATTCACTGCTGAGGGGAGCAGCAGGCAAGACAGGAGAGATCTGCTGTGCCAATTGGGTTAGCTCTCTGGCCTCACTGGCAGGGATGGAACTGGTGCTGCAGTGGCTGCAGATAGCTTGATAGTGCTGAGATTTAACTCCTTATGCCACCAGGGAGGCCCTAGACAAAATTCTAAAGATACTTGCAGTCCTTGGAGGGATATAGGAAACCCAGAAACAGGCGCAGATCTGGATCCTGGAACTGGAAGTTTGTCCAGGGATAGCTCTGTTGATTGCCTTTCTCCCTCTGTCTTTCCAGTTCTGCCTCCGGCTGATTTACCTTGATTATCTCCAGTCCATGAGGGCAAAAGAAAGAATTTGATTGATTCTGTGTGAGCAGTATGGAAAATTACATTGTAACCCCTTGGAAGCATTTAATACAATATTTTGAAGCTTGGTCTGTCCCATATAGATCGGAAGGTAGCCCCTGTTTCCCTTATAAAATTCTGGGCTTCTCTTGTATCCTCAGAGCTTATCACAGATATATCTGATACATACTAGGTGCTAAGCAAATATTTGTTATAAATAGACATTGGATATTATATGAAAATTGGAAACTTCTGTTAACTGTGTTGTTCCCATTACAACCATGATAAAACACATCAGGAGAGTATTTGCATGTTCCAAAGCTAGAGGCTGCACTTGATAGAGATGCAAAGGGCTGATGAAGACTCTTCTGTCACTGTTACCAATTATTGCCTCTGTAACCAGTATTAATGACTAGATGAAGTGTGCCCCTATCTACCATCCTTTCTGCTTACCATACCCCGGATTTGAGCAGGTACCACAGAGTGGAGAAGAGAACTGGAATATCACAAGGCTGCTCCCATGCCTGTAGGAGATGGATCAACAGAGATGCAAATGATATTGCACACTTTGAATTGTATTTTTAATAGGTGTGACTTATATTTATATTGTTCATCATTCAAGAAGTACAGTTGAACGTGAAGTAGAAACCCCCCTCCCATGCTAACCCCGTAGCCATCTCATTTTGCTCCCTAGGATCAACCAGTATTATCAGTTTCTTTTCTAAAAGCATTTTGTTTTGCACATTGATAGTTATTTGGAAAATGCATATTACCTGTATAATGACTGTACCTCATTCTCCTCAGTTTATCAGGCACTGCTTCAACATTGCCTATATTCTAAATTGCTCTTTCCCTGGGGTCAGTGATCTTTCTAAGCAAGTATCACCACTTTGGAACGGATGTGATTTTTAAATTAATTTATTAAAAGTCCTCTGAGCTAGTCTGCTTATCTCCATTACTAAGTAAAACCTCCTTTTTGTTTCCCTAAGTAATCTTAATTAGCCCCATAGGACATCCTTCCAGTTCTTCCTTTAGATAAAACATCAAGGCATTCTACAGTCACTCCTGTGTGCCAGGCGCTGTGTTAAACATTTTCCTCCTATTTAAACTTTATAATAATCTGGTGAAGTTGGCACCATTGTGATTCCAGTTTTACAGATAAAAGAACAGCCTTAAGGAAGTTAAGTAACTTAAGGTCACATGGAAATTGGCAGGATGGCATGTGAATTTAGTCTCTCACTCAAGTGCTACAGAGTACTACTCTTTACTGCCTCCTGGCCCCCATGGCATTCAATTGTATGAAAGATTAAATAGACATATCCTGGCTAATGATTAAGGCAGACCTAGCCCAGCCTGGGTTTCTGGCAAGGACTAGGTTGTTCTTTTACCAGATGAAAATGGCAGGAGAATTATAAGTACTGATGTTTCATATAGATAAAGGATGGCATGTAGCAATCCACAAAGATCCTAGAGCTAGAGGAGGGTGATGTCCACCCAGACACATAGGTACCCACAAGACCGTGGGGCCTGTGGGGTGAAAGTGCTTCTCCGGAGAGTACATCTTAGCTTTCTGTTTGTTAAGACCTTATTTGGGGCCTCCCCTGGTGGCGCAGCGGTTGAGCCCCGCTGGGCCTGCAGCCTCTGCAACCCCATTAGATCTTGCCGCTGGCGAGGGTCCCACATGGCGCGCTTTGGTCCTGCCGGTTCTGCTCCCCACTCTGGCTCTGGTGAATCCTCTCACTGTCCCGCGCTTCTGACTGTACCCAGTGCTTGTATAAATAAATAAATAAATAAATCTTTAAAAAAAAAAAAAAGAAGTTTCTCTTTTATTGTCCACAGTTTTATTCCTGAATGTTGTGTTCCAGAAACCCTGAGGTATGCACTAGTAATACTAATTTTTCAAGTCTGGATTGGGATGTGGGGATAAGTGTTGGTGGAGAGGAAGACAGGTGAATTTCTCATGAAAAATCAAGTATGGCCTGTCTCATACATAAAAAGCCTTGAGTTTATTTTTCTCTTTGTGATTAGACTGAAATGTATCCAAATATGTAAGCTGCTAAATTATAGGAGAATCAGCCTATAGAGGGTAACATAAGTAAAAATTCATAGAGAAAACATAACTTGCAAATATTAATAAACACATAAGGGAACTTGTAAGGATTATATTTTTAAAATATGTGTGTGGATAAAATCAACGGTTAATTTCTAAATGTATTTGATAAAAATATTTCAGAAAGATGCTATATTTTGACACATGGAAAAATTTCTTATTCTGGCTTATATACTCTGTATAAAAGTATTTTTCATTACATGGATGAACTGGAATGTGGCAGATAGTTTGATTTACATAGTGTTTTGTTTTGTTGAAGTGGGGCAGAAAATTGGTGTCAAATATGAGCCAAGTTGAGTTTATGATTTCAAGGTCATCTCAGGAAAGAGGAATCCTTAGCCTGCTATTGACTGTATTTGAATCTAGATCTAGAGTCCAATTATGTAAAATCAAAAAGTAACAGAATTAGAGACTTATTTAATATATTACTTTTCTAACAGCAAAATTATTCCTAGGGCTCTTTTCATGCAAACTCCGATATGAAATAGGGAGAATAGGAAAGGTTGATTTGTCTAGACTTAAAAATCCAATTTCATAATCCAGAAGAATAAAATTTTTCATTTAGTATGAAAACAATGCTACTAAATACAAAAACAAAATACATAGTACCCAGTTGACTGAGTTCTGTATTGTTTTATTTATATTCTAATTTATATGTATTTAAAGACTTATGAAGTAAATCTTTTCCTTTTTGCAGAAATTATCTTAACCAGACATATGCTGAAAAGGTAATTGTATAGAAATTACATTTTAGGATACTTCGGTTCTATTTTTTTTTTTTTTTGATACTTCGGTTCTATTTTATCATCAGATAATATCATTTTTGAATAGCTGGCTTTAGAATAAAATTACATTTTAGCCTAGATAATAGGTATGTTTATATAAAGGCTATAAATAAATTGTTTCAAATACTGAAGACTAAAACAAGACTACTCTTTTAGGCACCAAAATATAGAAAGAATTGCAGATTACTAGTGCTTGATACAAAGAGTAAATAATTTATTACTTAAAAAGAGTGTTTGACCATCATTTTGTCTTAAATATGAAGAAACTGGAACAGTTGTGTTTGAAAGACTTGTTTAAATCCTTTATTATTTTGTCTGTCATTCAAAAAATGCCTAAATATTTGCCAATCAGGAGTTTCTATTAGGAACATTATTACTGATAAAATGCTGAGCTCTTTTTCTTTCTCTTTCAGAAAAAATGATTGAACCAAATGAAGCAATGTCAGAGTAAGATGTCTGGTTTTGCGACTGATCTATCCCATACCTTTTAAGCAATTAGAACTAGATAATGTAATCATTTGTCTCCCAATTAAATTTGAAAAGCCAGAAAAGCATGGATTGACACTTTAGCTTTTGCTTGAGTCAAAGCAATTGTTACTTAGATAAAAGAGCATTTAAAATGAAAAATGGATTTTGATGAAAATGTAGAGGTATAGATAATATTCACTTCTCTTTTTTAAATGCTTAAGCAAGTGTTCTGGACTTCACTTATAGTAATTTTCATTGTTCATTCCTATTTTCCTTTAATACCTGCTCATTTCTTTCAAAATACCTCTTTATTTTTTTTTTAATTTTTTAAATAATAAATTTTATTTTTATATTCCCCCATACAATTGCAAACGCCCCATTCTGACCCCAATCCTTCCCCTCCCTCCCCCCACCCCCCAAAAAGTGTCTCTGGTTCATAGTTTTTTGTTGATTTTGATTTTCACTTTCTTATATTCATTTTCCTGGTCCCTTATTTAAGTTTTCTAGATTCCTGCTATGAGTGAGACCATCCGGTACAAAATACCTCTTTAAATGAATGTTACTTTAAAATTATTTACCATGAGATGAATCATTACTACTAAGTAAGGAAAATACCCCAAATAGTTGACAAGATTGGCATTTAAAAAGTCATAGTCCAGTTTCAGGTTAGCTTTTGGCTTTTGCTGTCAATTATATATTAAATACCTTTTACATTGAAGAGAAAATAATGTATAACAGGTCAATGACAAAGACTCTATTTCAGATGAAATATTATAAACAAGCAGAAGAAAAAAAATGCCCCATTAAGTATAGTAATCTGTATGTAAATGTGTGTGTATATGTATCCTGCCACATGTTTGAAATATATTTAAATTTAAAAATCTATGAAAATTTTAACTTTCAATAACAATAATAATGGAAGGTAGTAAGACGTTAATGAAAGTAAATTATAGGGGCCTCGCTGGTGACACAGGAGTTGAAGTCTCAGAGCTATCAAGCTATCTCCAGCCACTGTGGCATGAGTTCCATCCCAGGCCAGGGAGCTAACCCACATGGTGCAGCAGACCTCTCCTGTCTTCTTGCTGCTCCCCTCAGCAGTGTATTTCAGTACATCCACCTGTTTTGCTCCCCACTCTGTCTGGGTGAATCCTCTCACCCCGCCCCCAAACCTCTGGCCTACACCCCAGTTGTTGTGTGCATAAATAAATAAAAATAAATCTTAAAAAAGAAAGTAAATTACAACTGTGCTATGAGCCCCAATGTTGATAGACAAAGATAAACTGCACTGGAACTAGCAAGGGGTAATCCAAATCCTGAGTAATTAGCCTGAGGGATGATTCAGAGGAGTTCTGTGTTCCAGGTGGTATGGCCATTGACTCAAGGAATGATTTAAATACAGCCTGGGGGCCTCCCCTGTGGTGCAGCTGTTGAGCGCTGGGCTGCAAAGCTGCCCGCAGCCTCTGCAGTGCCGGTTCGATTCCCGGCCGCTGGGCAAGGGTCCCACATGGCGCACAGACCTCTCCTGCCGCCTGCTGCTCCCCTCAGCAGTGTATTTCGTCCGTCTGCCTGTTCTGTTCCCTGCTCTGGCTCTGGTGAATTCTCTCACCCTCCTGTGCTTCTGAATGTACCCAGTGCTTGTATAAATAAATAAATAAATCATTTAAAAACAAATAAATAAATAAATAAATACAGCCTGGGCCAAAATAGAAATGCAGTATGATTACTTGTTCTCTTGATCTCATTAATAAATGCATCTGCTTATCAAACTACTTTTTGTAAGGGCATGTTCCTTCAGTTTTCTGACACAGAGGGTTTAAATTTGGTTTGGTTTGGTTGTTGTTTGAGTGGGGGAACTGGAGGGGTAAGCATAGCTAGTAGCCTTCTTGGCTCTGTGACCTGTATTTTACCTAGAGTAAAGGAACATGACCAGTCCTGGGGGAAAAAATGATCAAGCAGGAAAATAAAACCATGGGGAATCTTTGCTTGGGGAATAATGTTTCAGCCTGAAAAGCTGATGAATTATTTTAGTGTTTTTACGTTTCACTCTCCATCACCCACTGGGTCCACAAACAATCTGACAACAAGTGGACTTTGCCAAAAGGTTAGGTTTTCTTTCCCCACTGTTTGTTTGTTTTTTTTTTTAATCTCAGTCTGCAAGAAGTGTATGGAATTTTTAATCAGAGTTTCAAATTTCTGGGTACACAAAACCCACAGTAATCAGAGTTTCAAATTTCTGGGTACACAAAACCCATAGTAGTCATTTTTTTCCCCTCTGTATCCCAAATATGAAAGATTTTGTCTACCCAACAAAACACACCTAATTAACAAACTGTTTTCAGTAGTGAAAGTAAAAATATATCGTTAATGCTGGTTAAGGTTTTATAGATCTCAGACCTTTGATCAAAAAACCTTTGGGTTCTTTTGGTCAAGTTCTTGAGCATACTTAAAGGTGTGAGGAGGAAATGACTGAAGCAAATTCACAACACTCAACTCTTTGAGATTGAAAAAAGTGGTGTCTGTAGTTTATTCTGTAGTCATGTTTTGTCTTTTCTAAAATAAATGATAAGCTTTTTTATTCCCATTTTTACACTTTAAGTAAATATCTCTTTGGACATAGACCAAGATTTACAAGCAGCCTTCATAATTCATCAACGCAAGTCTCTGTAAATGCAGCTAAGATGTTCTCAGAAATGTAAGTTTTAATAAATTTTGTTTTTAATCCCATATTTGACAAATATAAATCATTTTAAAAACAAAGTTTAAAAATATAAATTTCCTGAAAAAGTTATTCAATCTCTTAGGAATTTGGAAGCATTTCATAAATATGAGAAAGACTAGAAAGTTAGAAAGTGAGTTCATATTTTACTGTTAAAAATGATGCTTTTACAATTATACAATTATACAATTCTCATGTATAATTTTATACATTGTTCACTGCTTTCAAATAGTAATGCCCCATTTATTTTCAGGCCATTGAGTATATTGGATTCACATCTCAATGGAGTGAAAACAGAGCTACCATAACTTTGGGGGAAAATAATACATCTCTTCATATCTCTCCATGTACACCAGATATTGATTTTTAAAAACTTGGTAAAAAGACATATTAAAAGATTCTTAAGACCATGAAAAATAGAGTTGGGTTTATTTTTCCACCAGCAAGTGTGCCTGTCTTTGTAAACAGAGATTCTCTGTCTTGATGCATTATTTATTGACATGAGGTTCCAGATAAAAGTGTAAGAATTAGCCCATTTTTATTTCATCTGCTTGATTAAAATATAAGCTACTTTATATTATGACCAAGTGTTAATAAGGAATCTCTCCGTAAATGTAGCATTTAGCAATGGCAATAATTGATTTGAAACTTAAGAGAAAAATACTCAAATATCCCTTATATTATTTTATTCTATCACATCACATTGATGTGCCAGAGACACTTAAGATAACTGATTGCTTATATGTTCTATGTTAAAGAACTCTAAAGGGAGTTTATGAATCATTACATAATGACAAATGCCAGGTAGAAATAGAATTTTATCATCAGCAAAAATTACTTTTGATGCTTTTCCACAAAGAAGATACTGCATTTTAGCTATTTAGTTTATTTTTGGTATATTATATTGTGTTGACATTAAATATATGTATTGTATGAATGCATAAAACCTTAAACAGAATTGTGATCTAGGGAAATATTTTTTTTCACAATCTAATATTTAGGAAGGAAGAACCTTCAAAAAATGTTGAGAATAAAGTCTCTCTAAAGAATATTGAAAATAGAGTATCTTCAAAGAGTATTCAAAGTAAAAATACAGAAGCAAATCTGCAGTCTAAACCATGGTTATCTTCCTTTTTAAAAGAAGGCACAGGTAATAACCTTTGTTTAATTTGAGTAACTGTCACTTCTATTTCATCCTTCCTTCTCCGTGACCTCTGGTTTATGGATAAATCTGTATGTCTGGGGCAAGTCATAGGAATCAGTACTGTATCAAATTTGTCTACCAAATGATTCTGATATGCAGCCAGGTATGGGAGCCATGGGTACACATCATACAAAAAATGATTGGTTATTACATTTTAGGATGAGTTAAAATACCTGCAAAATCATGAACAAGTTTTATTCATTCCACAGCAGTTTATTGAGGATCAGGTACACTTCTAAAAGCTGTGAATCCAATAGTTGACCCTCATGCAACCCACATTTTAGTGGAAAAGAGACAGTTATTAAAAATAAACAATAAAAGGCAAATATAAATAAGCAAAGCTATGATGGGTGGTGATGGGTGCTGCAATGTAATTAAATGGCACCTGAGAGGAATTCCTGTACCCCAAGGATCAGGGAACCTCTGTCAGGATGATCATTGAGAGTTTGGGAATCGAATGAGACCGTTCCTATGACATCACATAAAGACTTAACTCCCTATTGTGACCTTTCCCTGTGACATCAGTGTGATGAGTCAGTGAGTAGGCTGGGGAACTGGAAGATCAGGGTGGTTGTGAGTCAATGGAGACTGTAAAAGAAAGAGAAGCAGGTAGATGCCCTGAATAGCCCAGCTGTCTTACTCTTGGAAGGACTTGGTATCCTTTTTCAGGATAGCTCTTTTTGTTTAGAGTTAATGTTATCAGTTTTGTCTGATTTTGGTCTGCGTTTTCTTAGCATTATCTTCTGAGTTCTCCTCTATTTCTTCATTGCTTTCTCACACAAGTGTATCTACACTACTTAGAGTAACTCATAGCCACTCTTCAGTCAAAGAAGGCATGCACAAGATTTTCTAGGCACTCAAAACCTCACAAGAAAGCGTTGGGTATAATATAAATTCAGTGTGAAACTGTGAAAGACTGTATCAAGCTAAAGGATTTGGCAAACTCACTTAATAGTGTTTCCCAAATAGATAATTTTAGGGGACAGAATAGTAAACTTCTTAAAAAAATTATTTTAATAGTAGATTTTTATGTGTGTTAGAAAAAATAAGATAGGACATGGTCAAGAATATGGACTTAGGGTCAAGAATTAGATCTCTGACTCTGAGATTTAATACTTTATTAGTGGTGTGAAATTGAGTAGTACCTTTAGTTTCACCTATAAATTGGAATAAAAATAGTATATACCTCATTGAGGCATTGCATTAAATAAGTTAATATATGTAGTCTTCAGAGCAATGGCATTTAATTTGTTAGGACTATTGTTACTTTTATTACTATATCCATCAGTTTCATGGGTGATAATATTTAGAATCTGACAAAATTTGTGAAGTTGTACTCCCAAAATTACATAGTTATGTAAACAATTGGCAATAAAATTTAAGAAAGAAAATCTGAGAAAGAAAAAAAGTCTGGGTGACACTCAGATATGGCAAAATGGACGAAAGTAGTATAAGAATTATTGAAGTTCAGAAAATAGGCCCAATAAATTATGCTATGGAGATATTACCTCTTAAATATTTCTCTGATCTATCCCTTCCTCTCCATCCTTATTTTGCCAATGTCTTGCCATTTATCATCTCTCTCTCATACCTGGACTTTTTAAACATAACTCCAGCTTTCCTCTATTTTTTTGGTCCCACCCTCAAGTTCACTTTTCAGCATGCTATAAAAGTGTTTCTTCATAACTACCAAATTGGGGCCTCCCTAGTGGCCTAGGGTAAGTCTCAGCACTATCACCGCTAATGCCTGAGTTCAAGCCCTGGTCAGGGGAACTAACCCATATATGGTACAGCAGACCTCTTCTGTCTCATGGCTGTTCCCCTTAGCAGTGTGTTTCAGTAAATCCACCTGGTCTGCTGCTACTATGTCTCTGGTGAATACTCTCACCCACCTGCACTTCTGGTCTGCACCCCAGTTCTTGTACACACACACACACACACACACACACACACACACACACACACACCATCACTCACTCAAAGATTTAACAAAAAAAAAAAAAAAGAGATTGATCATAATTGTTTCCTTACTTTAAATCTTTCATTAGTCCTTTCATTCTTAGGGTGAATTCCTGACTCCAAGATTTCTGTCCCACAAAACTCTCAGTCATCCAGGTAGCCTCTACCTACTTCTCTAGCCACATCTGTCACCATTTTAGCCTCAACCTTCCCCAACTCTTAAGCACCATCAAAGTGTTTTGTAACTCTCACATATTTCTCTTTCTGCATTGGCTCATGCTGTCCCTTCTCACTTACACTAGACTATACCTGACTACTCCCCAGACCTTGGATGGAACTCTCATTTGTTAATCCATTTATCTAGTACACATCTTTATCACCGTACTTCCATACTGTTTTGTAATAATTCATTGTGTTTCTGACTCCCCACCGAGTATAAACAAATACCATGAGGTATTTGTGTTCCTGTGCTCAGTGTAGCGCTGAACAGTGATGGGTGGTTAGTAGTTCTTGCATTTTCTTTTTCAATTATCTAGGGTTGGTCATAGATATTGTGACTTGAATTAGGAAAAATCATTAAAAATTTTAAACAACCTTAGTTATATCTAGAATACTACTTATTTATCTTCCTCATTGCTTGCATGTGACTGTGTGTGTGTGTGAGTGTTGAGACAAAGAGAGAAATTTATTCTCAAGTATCCAAGGATTGATATAACTTGCCTAAGAAAATATACTCCACCTCTTACTCTCCAAACTCTTTATTTAGTATTGACCTGGTATGAACAATTTAAGAAATATACTTTTGGAAATAGACTGACATTAATTTCTTTTTTCTTTATTTTATTAATTTTTTTAAGAATCCATTTGTCGGGCCTCCCCTGGTGGCGCAGTGGTTGAGCGCTGGGCTGCGAAGCCACCCGCAGCCTCTGAGCGCCAGTTCGATCCCCAGCCGCCGGGTGAGGGTCCCACATGGCGTGCAGACCTCTCCTGCCGCCCGCTGCTCCCCTCAGCAGTGTACTTCATTAGTCTGCCTGTTCTGCTCCCTGCTTTGGCTCTGGTGAATTCTCTCACCCTCCTGCACTTCTGACTGTACCCAGTGCTTGTATAAATAAATAAATAAATCTTTAAAAAAAAAAGAGAGAGAGAGAGAGATTGACCCTTCTCTTATTAAAAAAAAAGAATCCATTTGTTTTTTTGGTTTTTTTTAAGATTTATTTATTTATTTATACAAGCATTGGGTACAGTCAGAAGCACGGGAGGGTGAGAGAATTCACCAGAGCCAGAGCGGGGAGCAGAGCAGGCAGAAGAACTGAAGTACACAGCGGGCGGCAGGAGAGGTCTGCGCTCCATGTGGGACCCTCCTCTGGTGGCCGAGGAGCAGCCGGGGATCAAACTGGCACTGCAGAAGTTGCAGGCAGCTTCGCAGCCCAGCGCTCAACTGCTGCGCCACCGGGGAGGCCCCAATTTCTTTTTTCTTTAAATTACTATATTCTGTATGATCAAAACTGTTTTTCATTCATAAAAATCTCAAACACTAAATAACATGAACAGCTCAAAGTTACATTGGTTTGTTGGTGTTTTTTTCTACTTTCACTTGGCAATTTAATTACCCTTGTTGGAAATGGAAATCAGGTAAGTTTTTACAATACTCTGCAGTCATGAGCAAAGCAGCTCCAGAACGAGTATACTTCATTACAGTTTAGGAGTAACCATTTAAAATGTTTTGAACCTTTCAGTGTTTATTGATTAAATTATGTATATTCTATTTAAGGTAAAGTGGACAAAGATGCAGTCATTGTAGAGCAAGAGAAAAAGAATGAGTACTGCCTTCAAGATATTGATGACAAGTTGTCTGAATCAACAGATGATGATGGTGAAGATGATAGCAATGAGGAAGATAATGATGACAGTAGTCCTACTAAGAATACTCATGCCCCACTAGAGCTAATGGCAGAAGTAAGTTTTAATTGTGTAATATAATTTTAGAAATTAGAAAATATTGACATAGCTACATAGTATATAGCCTTAAAGATTAAGAAAAATAGTAAAAAGCTCCTTGTCCATATACAAGTGCTTATGTGGCTGCCTGCCTCTCACTACTTTTATCAGGTTAGCAGCAAAAAGAAGATTCCATATTTTGATAAGGCAGATGCAGGAAAAAGGGATGTTTTTGTATAAAACTCTTCAACAACTGCTTTAAGGAATGATTTTTCCATACTGGCACCCTGAAAGTTACTAGGGATATTTAGAGATAAATATGAATGACATGACCTAGCCCTTGAGAAGTAGCAGGCACATATTATTTATATATAATGCAACTTAAAATGAAATATATTCTAGTAAAAGTGTTTATGAGCAATTCTCCTCACTGTAGTATCAGTCTATCTTTAATTAATATTATGCAGCTTTATATATATTGTGGGAACTCATAGCAGTTTTTACACTTTACATTCCTGGACATTTTCATCATTTCTCCCTTCTCATCTTCTGTATTGATATAGTCATACATTTTACTTCTACATATTTTATAGGCCCTGCAATACATTGTTACTACTTTTGTTTTAAATGGTTACTTATTTTTTAAAGAATTTAATTGGAAAACTATATTTTCTTGAAGATATACCTGGTGTTCTTAAGAGCTCTTTGTCCATACAGATGTCCCTCTGCTATTGTTCACCTAATGAAGTTCTGTTGGCAGTGAAGTCTCTCAGCTTTAATTTATCTGAAAAAGTCTTTGTTTCACCTTAACTTTTAAAGTTCAGTACTTTGAAGGGTTGCTCTGTTAACCTAATAGTTAGCAAAGTGTCAGACAAGATGTCTGCTGTTATCTTTATTCCTCTATATATAAAGTATCATACTTTTTATCTCTCTGGGAAGTTTTTTCCATCCGTATTATTTTTGGCAATATGCTTATGATGTGCCTTGATGTGGTTTTCTTCATGTTTCTTCTGTTCATTAAGATTCTTGGATCTATGAGTTTATAGTTTTCATCAGGTTTGGAAAATGTTCAGTTATTAATTGTTCAAATATTATTTTCTGACCTCTTCCCTCGCTCTTCTTCATCTGGGCTCAATGAAGTACACATTTGTTAGACCACCCAATATTGTCCCGAAGGTCAGTGATGTTCCCTTTTTTCCTGTTTTCTCTATACACCTCATTTTAAAAAAAATCAAACAAATAGTAACAAAATCCACTACTACACATTGGATCCCACCCACTCTTGTTGTCACTACCTACCCTTTTTCTGGTGACCTCAGTTGAGGTGACTCAGTATTTGCCTTCTGACTTATTCCATTTAGCCTAATTCCCTTGAGATACCTCTATTTTTTTGCAACTGTCTTTCATGTCTTTCATAGCTAAGTTTTCATGTCTTTCATAGCTAAGTAGTATTCCACTGTTTATTTTACATACCACATCTTCTTTATCCAGTTGTTTATCATCATTTCAGAAATTTCAATTGCTATCTTCAAGTGCCTGATTCTTTCTTTGCAGTTATGATATGCTGTTATTCCCATCTTCTCTTTATAGTTTTTCATTTCAGATATTCTATTTATAATCTCTAGAATTTTTATTTAATTATCTTATGCCTATATTTTTCTCCTTATATTAATATTTTCTTTTACTTTTTGAAACATGATGTATATTTATAGTAAGTATTTTAGCATACTTGCTCAGTATGCTATCATTTTTTGTCAATTTTAGAACAGTTCCAATTGATTTAAGTTTTCTCCCAGCCCTATTTTCCTGCTTATTCTCCTGCCTGGTATTTTTTTTTACTGACTCCCAGAAATCATAAATTTTACCTTCTTGGCTACAAACTTTTGTTATTTTCCTTTAAACATTGTTTAACTTTGATCTAGGACACACAGTTAAATTACTTGGAGGCAGATTTCTGTTTTGGGCTTTGCTTTTAAGTCTTGTCAGAGAAGATGTAGGGCTGCCTTTGGAGTGTAGGCATGTTGCCAAGGCACGACCCTGTGAGGACTCTTCTCAGTGCCCTTTGTATTAGGAGGACCTACTCTTGTTGGAGGGTACATCAGCTCTTCTCAGCCCTGGGTGAGGTCCATGATTGTTCCACCTCATTCTAATGATTCTTCTGCCTCAGTTTCTTCATACTCATTTGCAGATCAGTGCCAGCTAATGACTCAGACACTTCTGCAGATTGTTGGAGCTCTCTCTTTGTGAAACCCATGCCTAAATTAAAAATTTGAGCCACATTGGCCTCTCTGAACTCCAAACTATTTCAACTCTAGATCATCAGTGGACTAACACCTGAAAACAGCCCACAAGCAGTAAGCAGAGGTGATCATAGGACCTACTTGCTTCTCTTCTCTCAGAGATCACTGTTGAAAGCTGATGTTTCATATATTTGTCCAGTTTTTTGGTTAAGGTAGGACAGTAAATCTGGTCTCTTTTACTCCATCGTGACTAAAGGCCTTGATTAGATTTCTAGCACAAAGAAAATGCTAATGTGCTTGCCTCCTTTGATTTAACCCAAATTTAACCCAAATGCTAGCTGTGCAATCATATCAGGAAATCAGACACATTTTCCTTTTAGAATAAAGCATATATAGGGAATTTTAAAACTTCCATATAGTATAAGTTTCTTTTAACAAGGGAGAAAAAATATTGATTCTTAGTTTTAGATCTCACTTAAACTTCCTTTGGACTAAATGGCTAAATCATTCATAAATTATGGAGCATTCAAAAACCTTACCTGCTTTAACTAACCTGTCTGAAGTTGCTCATTTTATTTTTCTTCCTTTTTTGATACGTAATTATAAAATCCATTCATTCATTTTTGTATAAAAATTTAGACCATATGAAATTGCTTATTTTCATATTATGCACTATACCTGTGCATATGATCTTTTGTTTTCAGACTACACCTATTTTTCATTTTTTCAGCTTTTTATTTTGAAAAATTTCAAACTTTTAGAAAAATTGAAAGACTGTAACAATGAACCTATGTATACACTTCATCTGGATTCACAATCTGTTAACTTTGTTCTAGATTGCTTTTCTCTCTTTTGATAGTTAAGGCATAACTGTACTCTTAATGTTCCTGGAACCCAGCCTTCTCAGTGGCGGGAGCAGCAGGAGCAGTGATGTTTTCATCCTGCTGCTACACCACAAGTCAGTTGTGGCAGTTGCTCCTCAGAGACCTTTTATGTAACAGTGTACTTCTTGGATCATGGAATGGACCAGTCAGGGGCAAGTTATGAGCTGATTGGTGCTAATTTTGATGCTAATGATCCAATCAGACTTTTGTTACTAGGACCCCACCTCTCACCACAAGTCAGTTGTGGCAGTTGCTCCTCAGAGCCCTTTTATGTAAAGCGCACTTCTTGGACTGTGGAATGGACCAATCAGGTGCTATGGGTTGGTTGGTAAATGGTCCAGGCAGCCACAGGATTGAAAAATGGTCCAATCAGACTTTGGGTGGGGCATCCTGAAAGAAGATATAAGCCAGGGTTGGAGGGAGCTGAGGGGAGATGAAGAGACGAGAGGCCACGATGCCAGCCCCTGAGGAAAGGAAGATGGTTCCAGCCTCCAAAGAAAGAAGAAAAAGAAGCATCTAGCAGACCGCTGAGGAGGGAAGATAAGCCAAAGGAGTCTGTTACAGACTGGGCCTCAGTCCTGTCTCTGACATTGCCTGAAAGGAGCACCAAAGGCCCTGGACCTGATATCTCAAAGAGCTATTTGTTGGTGGTGGAACCCAACAACTCACAAAGAGCTGTTAAGACTGGGTGTCTCTGACACTGCCTCTGCGGCACCAGTAGTGGCCATCACCACTGGCTAGTGCTGTCCAGCACTCCTGGTGACCAGTAGCGACCATCACTGATGCTACCTGGGTGATAGAGCCACCACTTGTGGATACAGGCAGCTCTTTGTTTCCCCGTTTGTAAAATAAATTCCATGGTTGTTGTCCCTGGAGCCTAAGGTCTCTTGCAATTGTGCGTGCGGGTGAGAACCCACAGACAGTGACCTGTCCTCTTATCGGGCACTGTCCTTTGTTAGGCTATAGCTCTTGGTTTTGGTTTTTGGCCTTTTGGGGATTTTTGGTGGCCTTCTGGTCTAGAGCCTAGGCAGGTAAGTGGTCGTTCCATCCACCCGACATCCTGCCCTGTAGCTTCTTGTAGCCCTTCCCACCCCTGTTTCATTAATACATATATTTGACAGAAACATTTGAAAGTAAGTTGCAGCATCAAAAAACTTAACCTCTAAATACATGGGTCTCCTAAGAAGAACTTTATGAAAATTTAAATATATTATCCAAATTCAAATTTCCCAATTTATCTTTAAAATGACTGTTATAGCTGGATTTTTTTTCCTGTCAGGATATCATCAAAATTCATGTCTTGAGTTTAGTTGGTAAGCATCTCTCTGTGTTGAATGTCACAAATAATATAAGAACATTTTATGAACCTGTATTCAGCTTAACTTCGAAGACTTAAATAATTCTCATGAATGTCTTTAGCCAAATGTCCATTGCATGAATTTTTTAACTTCATTGCCTTTTGAACTTTAAAAGGAAATTTATTTTATATTAACAACAACAACAAAAATAGGTCAATGCAGAGGAGACTTGAAATCGATTCCTTGTTCCTTTTCGTTTTTGAGAGTAGTAGTATTAATATAATGTTTCACTAAATAGTCTGGCTATAAGATGACATTAGGAAATTCTTGTTAAATTTACTAGGTATAATAGTGATAATGTAATTAGTTCAAAGTGAAATGAGATGGTATGTGTAAACTGCTTGGAAATTATCTAGGCAGAAGGTAGAGAAAGAGTCTGTGATGATAATGATAAAACCATATTAGCAAAATGTTAACTTGAAGGTAAGAATTGGGAACATGTGTTTTCTATTTCTGGCTATAGTAAATTTTCCATAAATATTTTTAATATGTAAGCATATAGGTAATATTATATAGGTCACATCCTCTGACCATGATGAATTAAACTAGGTATTAATAGCAAAGATAATTACAACAGTAATTAGTACTATTTAAAACTATTAAATATTCTTTAAATGACATTTGAGTTAAAAATAAAATTAAAGCAATTCTCATCCAACACTAGCATCTGTTTTAACAAACCTGTCTTATTTTTTGTGGGACCCTCGCAGTTGGCTGGGGATCCAACTGGCACTGCAAAGGCTGTGGGCAGTCTCCCAACCCAGCGCTCAACTGCTGTGCCACTAGGGGAGGCCCCAAACCTGTCTCTTTTAAATACAAGTCTTTTTACCTGCTTATGTCTGTGCAAGTGTCTTCCCCATTCCTTTTCCTAATAAACCTGTCCTTTATAAAATGTAAAAAATAAATAAAAATAAAAACCAAGTTTAAAAACTATATAGAAAATGGTGATAACCAAACTGTAAACATTAAAACTTTGAAAAGACATGTTTTTTAAATTTTTTTGAGTTTAATTTTATTTTTTTAAATTTTATATTCCCCATACAATTGCAACCCCGATTTTGACCCCAATCCCTCCTTCCCCTCCCACCACAAAGAGTCTCTGGTTCATAGTTGTTTGTTGATTTTGATTTTTTTCTTTCTTATAGTTATTCTTTTTCCCGGTCCATATTTAGGTTTTCTAGATTCCTGTTATGAGTGAGACCATCTGGTATTTTTCTTTTTCTTTCTGGCTTATTTCGCTGAGCATGATCCCTTCCAGCTCCATCCATGTTGCTGCAAATTGCATGTTTATCTTTTTTGAATGCTGAGTAATAGTCCATTGTATATATGTACTACATCTTCTTCATCCAGTCATCTATTTTTGAGCATTTGGGTTGTTTCCAAAGCTTAGCTATTGTAAATTGTGCTGCTATAAACACAGGGGTGCAGGTGCTCTTTGGAATTAATGTTTCTGTGTCCTTTGGGTAAATACCTAGGAGTGGAATTGCTAGATCATATGGAAGCTCTATCTTTAGTAGGTTGAGGAATCTCCACACAGCTTTCCATAGTGCTTGGACCAGTTTGCACTCCCACCAGCAGTGTAGGAGAGTTCCTTTCTCTCCACATCGTCGCCAACATTTGTTGTTGCTAGTTTTTTTAATATGTGCCATTCACACTGGTGTAAGATGGTATCTCATTGTAGTTTTGATTTGCATTTCCCTCACTGCAAGTGATGTTGAACATGTTTTCATATGCCTGGTGGCCATTTGCATTTCCTCTTCGGAGAAGTTTCTTTTTAGCTCTTCTGCCCATTTTTTGACTGGATTATTTTCTTTGTTTTTGTTGAGTCTCATCTGTTCTTTGTAGATTTTTGTGATCAGTCCTTTATCATTAGTGTTGGGTGCAAAAATTTTCTCCCAGTCGTTGGGGTTTCTTTTTGTTTTGGTTATTGTCTCTTTTGCTGTGCAGAAGCTCTTTAATTTGATGTAGTCCCAGCTGTTGATCTTTGCCTTCACTATCACTGCTTTGGGTGATGCGTCTGTAAAGATGTCTTTGAGGTGCATGTCATGTAGTGTTTCGCCTATATTTGAAAAGACTTTTTTAAAATTTAAAATGCTTGATGGTGATGATAATGATGATGGTGATTTAAGGAAGAGAGACAATCAGTGCCACAAACTAACAAAACAACAAAATAAGCATAAGGAAAAAAAGAAAATGAATTAGATAACCAGAATTTAGTAATTCAAAGTGAAAATAATTTAACATATCAATTAAAGAGCTAGATAGTTGAAAAATAGGATAATATAAGCCACCAAAGATCACAATTTAAGTTGGAAAAAAACTACAAATGGGAATGAAAGTAAACTTGTAATAACTTTAAACAAGAATGAAATTGAATTTTTTAAAAAGATTTATTTATTTATGCATACAAGAACTGGGGTATAGGCCAGAGGTGTGGAGGGTGAGAGGATTCACCAAAGACAGAGGACAAAATGGAACAGACAGATTGACTGAAATACACTGCTGAGGGGAGCAGCGGGCAAGTCAGGAGAGGTCTGCTGCGCCATGTGGGTCACCTCACTGGCCGGGGATCAAACTCGTGCTGCAGTGGCTGTGGATAGCTTCATCGTGCTACATCTTAACCCCTAGCACCACCAGGGAGGCCCCAAGAATGAAATTTTAAAATAAACTTTTATGAACTGAACATAGCATTTATTATTATGGGAATAAATGTGATGTGATGTAATGTAATCATTTATAGAAAAGTTGAAGAGTTCCATTTACATTATAAAAATATAATCTAATACCCATGAGTAAACTGATAAAACTAGTAATTATAAAATTTCTTAAAGTAGCACCTAAGCATTTGTCAAATATCTAGAAATGTGTGAGAAGTGTCTCATATTACTTGGTGCCTGTTTCTCGCAAAGTAAACCTCATGTGCTTGGCTCAGAGCAAGCATCCAAGCGTGGGTTATTTTTTTTAATGAAACAGTCTTAAATAGCTAATAATAAAGATAGTTTAGTGAATTGTAACCTAACCATGTAAAAACCATATGCAAATATTTAATTCCTTGGGGAGAAGAGTAATATGTATTTTTTAAGTTATTGAATAATCTTAGTTTTAAAAAATGTGTTCCTTTGTAGGAAAAAAAAGTGACATAGGTGAAAGATATAATGACATATAGACATTAAAAATAAGCATCTTTGGACAGTAGAAATAAAAATACTTTTAAATTAGGGACAGAAAGTGTTTAGTTATTAATTTTCTTACTTGTAAAAATATGTATTACTTTTTAACAAAAATAAAAATTTTAAAATAAAGTAAAATTTTATGACATAGGGACCGTGTTGGAAAATGTTTAATATGAATAATTATAAACCTGTATTTTTTACTAAATATTACCATGTAATTATGGACTAAGCTCACAAATAATAGTATCTGAGCCAAAAAGATATTAAAGGGATTGACCTCTGCTGTTGAATCAACCGGCAAGTATTCTCAAATTGTTCAAATAGTACATAGATGTGTGGCTGCAAAAAAGTGGACAGTCATACTTATTCTATGAGAATTTCTGTAATATCCTTGATTAATTGACTGACTACAGATTCTCTCCTGGAAGAAAATGTATGTTAAAAGCAAAATAGTCATTATTGGAATATATTCCAGGAAATTCATAATTGATATTTAATTTCTATTTGATATGACTTATCTGAAGAATTTCTTCTTGTTTCCCAGTTCCTGAGAGCAGAAATGGGCCAAGACTACCATCTAGCAAAAAAATTATGTCAAATGAGTAAGTAGAAAATACTTTTCCATTTTCTAATCTATAAAATGTAAGGTGACTTGTTTGAGCATTATATTATATATACATCTAGTGAATTTCCTGATAGTGTCTGAGTGATTCTCATAGTAAATCAGTTAATTGTCATAATTTAGATTTCTAGAATGCTTTTTTTTTTAAAATAGAGGCATGTTTTTATTTATTTATTTGTTTGTTTGTTTTTGTTTATACATGCACTGGGTACAGTCAGAAGCGCGGGAGGGTGAGAGAATTCACCAGAGCCAGAGCGGGGAACAGAGCAGGCAGAAGGACCGAAGTACACTGCTGAGGGTAGCAGCGGGCGGCAGGAGGGGTCTGCGCACCATGTGGGACCCTCCTCTGGTGGCCGGGGAGCAGCCGGGGATCGAACCTGCGCCGCAGAGGCCGCGGGCAGCTTCGCAACCCAGCGCTCAACCGCTGCGCCACCGGGGAGGCCCTCTAGAATGCTTTTGAATGTGGTAAATTAATTATCCCCTAACATAGAACTGTTGCCACCACTAGAAAATAAGTCATAATCTTTACCTTCATGATAATGGGTTAATAACTTTATGCCTTTAGTTTCAAAGAAGTTTTAGACAGTGCAGCAAAGCTTACTTAACATGCAATTATCTACAAATTCTTAATGCCTACATGTTCTAGGTACTGTTCTAGGCACTGGAAATTCAACAGTCAACAAGACAAATAACTGCACATTTATATCTAGTGTCATAAAGATAATAAACATATATATGTAGAGTGTCATGAGTGACAAGTGCTATGGAGAGAAATTAAGTGGAGAAGAAAGAATAGAAAGTGCTGGGAGAAGGCATAGCAGTTTTGAGTAGGATGGTCTCACTGAAAGACTTGAACAAAAAATTGAAGTTGAGTGAACTAGTCATGTAGATATATAGAGGAAGTGAGTTCCAGGCAAGACTAATAGTAACTGTGCTGAAGTGCCAGGGTACCTTACAAGGAACAGCAAGGGGGACAGTGTAACTGGAACAGAACAAGCAAGGGCAGAGGTTGTGGGCAGGTCATTGTGCAGCTTGCATAGCAGCCTCTCACAGTTTAAGAGCTTTCACTTTTGCTCAGAGGTGGGAAACTACTGGAGACTTTTAACTTGAGGGATGATATGATTAACTTTTCCTTTTGTCATTGGTCTTCAGTGGTTGAAGTTGATGTGCAAAAAGTTGCAGTGGGTCATTTTTGTTTAAGAGGTTTGCTCAATTTCTTAGATTTCAAAGTTGATGCTTTCATCAACTTTGAAAATATCTTGGCTGTTACCTTTTCATATATAACTCTGCCCTATTTCCTCTCTCTGTTCCATCCCTGGGCCTCCAGCTGTGCATAAATTAGACTTTTTTCCATAGTGGATATTCTATTTCATAGTCGATATTCTATTGACCTGTTTTTCAGTTAACTTACTCTCTCTTCTGCTATATCTACTTTACTGTTAAAACTATCTGGTGAGTTTTTAATTTCAAAGATTTATTTTCCAATTTTAGAAAGTCCATTTAATAATTTTGAATATACAAGCTCTCTGTTAACATCCACAATCTTCTCAATTATTTTGCCCATGTTTTCTTCTAATACATTAGTCATAGTTGTTTTTTCAATTGAGTTAACTTTGGTTTACAACACTGCATGTGATTCAAAGGCATAAAATACATGTCACCATACCACACCCACCATCAGACACCCATAGCCCTACACCAGAGTCCATTAGACCCCTCCCCACTATTTTTCCCCTCCCAATCTTGTAAGAAAAAAATAGCAATTCAACACTTAAACCTTTTAATAATAGAGTTCAAAGTATTAACTAGTGTTAGACTCAATCTAAAAATTGTTGAAGTGAAAATGTAGTACAGGAATTGTGAGGTCTGTTCTCACGTGACTCACACACAGAGTCCCTACTGTAGATAGAATAATTATTAAGTCATTGGCTATTTTTTAAAATACTACCTACTTTTTATATCCAGGTTTAATACTTGGTCTTGTTTAATCCTTTCAAGGACTTTTCACCTTTTGAGATATCAAATAAAATAATTTGATGAAAGCTATTTTTGTTGGCCTGCAAACAGAGACTATCTAATCAGAAGGAATCCTTAGAGAGAGTTATGTCCAATCCTCTATTTTTATAAATAACAAAACTGAAGCAGAGAAAGGTTAAGCAGCATACTCAGTATCACTTAGAACTAGTAAAACTGGACCTTGTCTCCTCCTCCCTCACACTTTCCTTCTCTGTGGTGGCTAGTGTAGAAGTGAGTGCTCCTGTAACTCTAGTCCCAATTCTGAGTTTCTAGTGGAACCCAATTGTGGAAAAATTTACATATTCTATTTCCATATTCATCAATCATTTTAGAAAGCTTCTGGCTGAAGCTTATAAAATATGTGCTTTGATATCATCACATATGCCAGTCAGCTTTGTCGCTTGGCCTTGCATTTGTGCCACATAAACAGCCAGTGCTCAATAAAATGCTTATTGATGTAACAGAAACCAGCGAACACACATTTTAGGTCAAGGGGGGAAAAAAAGTTTAGCAATCTATCATTAATTAATGGGGTTACGTTCCCTTATTTTTTTTAAAGATTATTTATGTACACAAGAACGGGTATACAGGCCAGAGGTGTGTGTGGGGTTGGTGAGAGGATTCACCAGAGACAGAGTGGGGAACAGAACAGACGGATTTACTGAAATACGCTGCTGGGGAGCAGTGGGCGAGACAGGAGAGGTCCACTGCACCATGTGGGTAGCTCCCTGGCCGGGGATTGAACTCATGCTGCAGAGGCTGCAGATAGCTTCATAGTGCTGTGCTTAACAAATTGTGCCACCATGGAGGCCCCGTTATGTTCCTTTGAAACTCATTCACTACCTTCCCTTCTTCCCTTCCTCCTTCCTACCTTCATTCCTTCCAACAAATATTTATTGAGCACCACCTTTATACCCAACAATGTGCTGGGAACTGGAGGGAAAACAGAAATGAGAGCCCACATGCTCTAAACCCTCTTGAGGTTGACATTAGATATGGTTAGTTTGATTTTCACCCCTAGTGGTTCATTCACTATCACTCTTCACTCTTTTCTGTCGGTGTCAAACACTGGGACCTGTATAGTCTAAAAGATTAGACTGTGGGAAAAGGAGATATGGAGAACCCTCAGTCAGGCACTGTGATCCAAGGAGCCAGTTGGGAAAGAATGGTACTCTGAAGAAGAAGATCGGGCTGATAGGAAACACAGACAGAGAGACCCAGAAATGGGGGTATGGGGTGGGGGCCATGTAAAGTATGATTGGCTATCCCTGAGGCAGATTCCCAGTCAAGGATGTAGAATGTGGGAGGCCAAAGTTTAGCAATGCCAAGCAAGTTCATGGAAAAACAGGTAGATACAGACACTGTTTTAGGAAGAAGGGAGCTCTAGTTCTTTGATACAAATAGGAACACTTGGCTGAGTGCAACCCAAAGTCTCTATAGTCAGAACAACAAACGATTTTTTTGTAAATCTAATATGGACCTAAAATAGTAATATAAATTCTTACAGTATAGATACCCTTTTAGCTCTTTCTTCTTTTAGCTATTCTATGGAATAGATAAAATATATGCATGTAAGCATAGTTTATGTATATATTTATCTATTTGTATACTGGGCACCTACTATAGGAACATTCTTGAATACATTCTTGAATTCTTTAATTTTTTAGAAAGATTTATTTTATTTATGTATATAAGAGCTGGGGTGTAGGCCAGAGGTGGGGGTGGGGTAAGAGGATTCACCAGAGACAGAGTGGGGAGCAGAATAGGCAGATTGGCTGAAATACACTGTTGAGGGGAGCAGCGGGCCAGACAGGAGAGGTCTGCTGCGCCATGTAGGTCAGGCCCTGGCCTGATCAAACTTGTGCTGCAGTGACTGTGGACTGGCTCATAGTGCTGAAACGTAATCCCTTGCACCACCAGGGAGGCCCTGAGGCACATATTATTAACCCTACTTTACAAATGAGAAAATGAGAGTTAACAAGGAGAACTAATTTATACACACAGCTACGAGTAGTAAAATCAGGATTAGATCCCAGGTCTGGCTTGAAAGTGTATGATTTCCTACTATATTTGCTTTTTCTCATTTAATTAATAAGCCTATATTTCTGGTCAAGTAGTCAGAGACTGGGAAAGGAGATACTTTCATGAATTAATTAGGTTTCCAGTGGCTCCTGTGGTTCACTATTTATTTTCTTTATTTGTATCTAGGGCAATTAATTTATAGGAAATAATACATCTTTGACCCTTCAGGAACGTTTTACAAATTCACTTTCTTGAATGAAGCCTCTGGTTCCGGGTGTGTTTTCTTAAAGTCCAATTATGGTATAGTCATTTATATTCTCATTTGGCTGAAGGGCTTCTCACATTGCACCCCAGGTGCCCATGGGATCTTTATCCTTTGTCCTGTCTTTTAAACTATTTGCATTGGGTTTTGCCAAGAAATTTTATCTATTGACAAAGGCTTGAATTTTATCTGTCTTCCACACAGTTTTTATGTAGTCCTAATATTTCCTTGACTATCTTCCTGTTGTCTCATGCAGAACTGTAGCTGCTCCATGCCATTTCCTGCTAGGCATTGGAGGCAGCCTGTAAAAGTGGTTTTTTATAGAGGCATGTTTTATTTATTTATTTGTTTGTTTGGTTGGTTGGTTTTTTTGGTTTATACATGCACTGGGTACAGTCAGAAGCGCGGGAGGGTGAGAGAATCCACCAGAGCCAGAGCAGGGAGCAGAGCAGGCAGAAGGATCAAAGCACACTGCTGAGGGGAGCAGCGGGCGGCAGGAGAGGTCTGCGCGCCATGTGGGACCCTCCTCCCATGTGGGACCCTCCTCTGGTGGCCGGGGAGCAGCCAGGGATCAAACCAGCGCTGCAGAGGCTGCGGACAGCTTCGCAACCCAGCGCTCAACCGCTGCGCCACAGGGGAGGCCCTAAAAGTGGTTTTTTAATGGTGCTGAAATACAAGAATCCCAAGTACTTTTCTTAGTTCATCTCATGATTGATTGTGCGATTTTGTGCCAATCAATCTTCCTATTTCACCTGTAAGAAGGAAAACTGTAGCTCACTCTTCTTGGGGTATATAGGGGGCAGGACTGGACACAGTGCAGGTTTTCTGATCCCATGCAGACCGGGTAAAGGAGGAGTCAGAGTCCTCAGTGGTTTTGCAGGTTTTTATTGGGGTTCAGCGGGTATGTGGCAGGCAGGGGTGCTGGGGGGCTGGGAGGCTGGCAGTCCTCCCAGCCCCCAGCAAATCTTCACTCTATCTGGGCTCTCTGGTGTTCTCTGCTTTTGCTTCGGGCTTCTTCTCTTTCGGCTTCTGCTTCGGCTTCTACTGCTGCTGCGGACGTCCCCGTGACGCCGCCCTTAAAAAAAAAAAGCACAGTCTTAGCTCAGCTGAATCCCATCTACCCATGCCCAAACCCTATTCCAGGTGCCCGCCATCAGGCATGCATTCAGGACAAGGATCCATCATCTATCCTGATGGCGGAAGGCCAGAAAAGCCTGATATTTTCTTTACCCTACAGGGTACCACACTTCTGCTCTCAGCCAATGAAGATTATATATACACACACAAGCATTTAGTCCTGAGCCATCTTCTTCATCAGTTATAATACTTTTAAATGTTAAAGAATAATAGCCTTAAAACCAAAAAGGTTATCATTATAGGCCTAACACAAATACAGATATGTCTTCAGAAGAGATAGTCCATGTAAAGTTTTCTGTTTATTTTTAAGTAAAATAAATCACTCTATCCTATTTGCCTAGACAGAAAATGATGAGTGCTTCCTGCTTGGTTGTTTCTATTCATGTATCCCATTCTTTAAAATCTTGAGGGCTCCAGCTTTGTGCCAGGCACTCTCCTAGAGATGCAACAGTGACGGGACAACAGTGTGTCTACCGTAGACTAGCCCCCGTCTGAAGGTCTTAGAGCCATATGGACTCAAGACCTGCCCCCTGCTCCTTATCCCAGCCCTTTAACCAGAGGAAAATACCCAGTGAATGCTTAGAAAGGAACCAAGCCTTTCTCTAAACTCAGAAACATTCCAGGAAATAGTAATCAACATTCATTTAGCATTTACCATGCACCTAGTATCACTAAGTACTTTATCTACATTATCAAAATAGTTTGGTGTGGTCATTAATATCATAGATAAGGGAACTGAGATACAGAGATATTAAATATTTTCCCCAAAGTATCTCAGCTGGACTGTGGCAGAACCAGAATTCACACCTGACAGTCTTTCTTTTGGGCCTACGCTAGGCTCTGTTTATGGGCCCAATTTGAGAAACAACTACTAGGATACTAACTACTTATACTAGAAGATTCTGTTACCTTTTAATAAGCCCTACTAAGTTGTGAAAGAGTAAGAAGACTTTTTTTGATTCTTTACCTAGAGTAGATACTGTGGGCAAAATTTGAAAGATACCTTTTTCCTACTCTGAATTTTGACAATTGCCAGCAGTTTTTGTTAAACCACAGGAGTAACTGATCTCATATTCCAATCTCATGAAATAATCCTAATTCCAAAATGAAGCTTTCCAAAATGTATTCCAAGGCATATTAATTCAACATTTCCCTTTTTAAAGATTTATTTATTTTTGCATAGAAGAACTGGGGTATAGGCCAGAGGTGTGGGGAGTAAGAGGATTCACCAGCGATAGAGTGGTGAACAGAACAGACAGATGACTGAAAGACACTGCTGAGGGAAGCAGCAGGCAATACAGGAGAGGTCTGCTGCGCCATATATGGGTGTAGGGTAGGTAAAAGGTATCAGGCTTTTCTGCCCTCCCGCCATTAGGGTAGATGAGGGAACCCTGTCATCCTGAATACATGCCTGATGGCGGGCATCTGAGGTGGGTACACCTGGGCTGAGAGACTAGACTTTTAAGGGTGGCGTCACGGGGATGCCAGTAATAGCAGAAGCCGAGAGAGAAGCAGAGCCATGAGAAGAGCAGAGAGAACGTGAGAGTGAAGATTTGCTGGGGGCTGGGAGGACTGCCAGCCTCCCAGCCCCCGAGCGCCCCTGCCTGCCTTGTACCTGGTAATCTAAATAAAAAGACCTGCAAAAAGCCACTGAGGACGCTGACTCCTCCTTTACCCGGTCTGCTGGATCATAGAAAACCTGCTCAGTGTCCATTCCTGCCTTTTACAGTGGGTTAGCTTCCTGGCTGGCTTTTGAACTCAGTTCTCAGCAGTGATAGTGCTGAGACTTAACCCCTACGACACCAGAGAAGCTTCCTAATTCAATAGTTCTTAATAATTGTCCCACTAAAACAATTCCATGGGAATAATAAATTTGGGAAACCACATTCTCCTCTCTATAAGGTTCATAGTAATTATAAACATATTAATAGATCTATAAAATCCTACATTTTTTTCTTTACTGTAAATTTTTACTTGGTTAACGTCATTAAAAATAGTTTCCCAAGTATGTATTAACATCCTAAGGAACTAGTATCTCAAGGAGCAAGCTGGAAAAGCCATGCCCCAGAAAGAGTCTTAGACACAGAAAAGATTTAAACTTTTAATGGTAAGCATGTTTTAGTCAGAGTTACAATTTATAAAAAGTTACTTTCATTAAAAACCTTAAATATGTATAAATACCTTCAAGTTCCTTAAAAATATCTTCTGAGCAGGTACATAGTTATATGACCCCTTTGGCATTAAATTTTATATTATTGGAGTAGGAAATAAAGTCTTTGGCCAGGTGTGTCAAGATGAAAGCCATATGGGGTGAGGAGGTCCTATAAGCCAATGGGGCCTACTTGAGCCATCCACAATTATCTTTATTCTTAGACCAACAGTACACAATATTCCAGTGCCCCCTGTGGGCCATCAAGATATTGCTCAGGAGTAACATTAAATGGATGCTACAGTATTATGAAAACTCGTAAAGGCAGTAAGAAGTAAGAGACAAATCTGTAGAGCAAAATGTGAAAAAGTAAGTTAAGTGATCTAGAAAGCTCTGAAACAAAAGGTGTAAATCTTTCTGGGCTCTGGGATGTTGGTAATGCCAACAAGTCTAAAAAAATCTATTGGTATGGTCCAAAGGAAAGGTGGCACATTCACATAAAAGATCAGCAGAAAGGAATAAACACTGCTAAAAACAAATGTTCTAGCAAAGAGAGGAGAATGATAAATAGTTGATGACGAGGGTGTGAACTAGGGTAAACATTTTCAGGATGAAGATAAAGACTAATCAGTTTTCCCTATTTGAAAGATGAGGTTTTTTTTTTTTTTTAATTGCATCTCTAAGATGGAAGAGCTTGCATTAAAAAGGGGAGGGGGGTGGCTCCCTGGTGGCGCAAGGGGTTAAGTCTCAGCACTGTGAAGCTATTGGCAGCCAGTGCAGAACGAGTTCAATCCCCGGCCAGGGAGCCAACCCACATGGCACAGGAGACCTCTCCTGTCTTGCCTGCTGCTCCTCAGCAGTGTATTTCAATAGATCTGACTGTTCTGCTCCCCACTCTGTCTCTGGTGAATCCTCTCACCCCCCTGCACCTCTGGCCTTCACCCCAGCTCTTGTATGCATAAATAAATAAATCTTTTTTAAAAAAAGACAAATAACTTAGTTCCTTTGTGTCCTGATGAGACCTTTAGCAAAGGATGTCCTGTAGACATTTGGTAAATGGGATGAGATAAGGAGTGAACAGGCCTCTAGGCACACAGTTTTCTCATTAGCAAAGTCTCCATATTTTGCAGGGGTTCATACTTTGATTGGGAATGGTTATGATTGGGAGCACATTTGCTAGGAGCCAATGATGAAGCCTCATAATGTTGGAGATTGCATTCTTTCTTGGGACAGGAAGTAGAAAATGTGAGGATTATGTCTCTCACAAAGAACCTAAGATAAATAAAGCATTTTATTCTATTTGCACTTAGATATATCTGTGGTATAATTATTGGGGTTTATAGCTTTGTGCATTTTTACTTAAACTGATTGACAGTTTCAATCTCATTCTGGGAGCCTGTTTGCTGAAATACTTTAAACATTAATAACACATTCTGTTGTCCATTTTCAGTTCTAATCTATGAACCAGAAAATACAGAGGCCAAGGAGTTTTTCTCACTTATTGAAGAATTGTTGCTGATGGGTAAGTTTAAAATGCCTTCTTTATCACAGAACTCTGCATAGTCACTATTTAAAAACCCATTATCCCAGGAGAGTGGTGAAATAAATTCCCAGGAAATGGTTAAGAAAAGGCTAAGTGGTTTTCTTGAATGTTTTAATGAAACCATCTTGTCCTCTGTGCTTGGGGAAGATGACTCCCTTTTCTCTGTGGAGCGGAACCACCCAAGCAGAGCAGGCTCCTTGGGACCAGGCATCAGGCGCCTTCAGAAGAGATAGACTGTGCTAATCACTCCTGTGTGTTAAAGGGGTTAGCCTGCAGTTCGGAAGAAAGCCTGTGTCCACTAAATTACCCTGAATCTCATTCTTATTCTATTTAAGAATTACCTTGACAATAGTAAAATAATATTTTATAGACCTATGTTTTAAATTTACTTTAAATCTACAAACATTTTGGGCCTTCTTAGGTGGGGCAGGTGGTTGAACACAGTGCTGTGAAGCTGTCCGCAGCCTCCACAGTGCTGGTTTGATCCCCGCTGGCCACAGAAATACACACATGGCAGGGAAGACCTCTCCTGTTTCACCCGCTGCTCCCGTCAGCAGTGTATTTCAGTCAGTCTGCCTGTTCTGTTCCCCACTCTGTCTATGGTGAATCCTCTCCCCCTCCTGCACATCTGAACTGTACCTCGGTTCTTGTATAAATAAATAAAAAAATCTTTAAAAAGAATCCACAAATATCTTTATGCTAGTATGAAGATATTTCTTCTTTGTACCACTATTTTGATCCTACATACAGTTAGCAAACAGTCATTCAGTTTTTATGTTCCAAAAATATGTATTTCTAGTGGAGAGAGAAGCAAGGAGAATTTCAAAGGGTGGAAATATTTAGAAACATTTTAAGCAATTTTCTTCCTTTCTGTGTCAGAGAAAGCTCAGGACCTTGAGGAAGATGAAGATAGTGAAGATGACAGTAGCCGGGAGAGTGAAGGAGAAAGCAGTGAGGATCAAACTGAAGAAAGCTCTGATGAGTGTGAAGACAGCTGATGAAAGTCGCCATCATTTAATTTCCATGTTATTTTCCTTACTGCATACCAATCAAATAAAAAGCAGCAGTTTTTTAGTTTAATTGTTCTTCATTTGGTACAGAATTCTTTTAGTTTATTCCCATTCTTAGCCTGAATTTTTAATATTGAGATCTTAGTTCAATGAGTTTTATTAGCGAGGAAGATAGTAACTGAAAACAATTATGTTGCACTAGACACATTAATTTATTTAATCCAGCAACTCCATGAGGTAGGTGCTCTTATTACCCATTCAACAGGTAAGAAAATTGATGCATAGAGAAGGTGTGTAGTTTGCCTATTGTCCTATGCTGGATTTGTAGAGCCTGGATTTGTAGGTGAACATTATGGGTCCAGAGTTCATGCTCTTAGCTTCTCTCATACTCTCCACTTTAGGTACTTGGCTATCATTTGTTTTATGTTCTTTATATCACATATCAGTACTCAACATGTTAGTTTTATCTTCTCCCTTCCTGCTAGAAAATGTAATCTTCATGAAGCAGGTCTTTGTCTTTTTCAACAATATCTTATTATTTGATGAAACATTTATAAAACTTTATACTTTATGTAATAGATGAGAAAACATTCCTAAGTAATCTGTTTACATGCTGAAATGATCTGAAGGTAGGCATTTTTAATTGTTATTCTTTTTTAGAACATTTTTATTGAGGTAACATTGAAACCACTATATATGATTTAAAGGGTATAGGATAACACCTTTCAGATGTATGTTGCCATACCACCCCCAACCTCAGAGCCACCCATAGTCCTTCAGCAGAGTCCACTGTGTCCCTCCTCACTTTGCTCTCCACTCTCCTCCTCCTCTGGAAGCCTCAATTCTGCAGTCAGATTTCTAAGGTTTGTTATTGGTTTGGTTTTATCTGACCTTTTGTTTTGTTTTTCTATATTCTGCATAGCAATGAAGCCATCTGGTATTTGTCTTTCTCCTGCTGACTTACTTAGCTTAGCATTATCTCCTCCAGTTTCATCTGTGTTGTCAGGTATGGCAAAAGTTTATCTTGTTTTATAGCTGAGTAGTATTCCATTGTGTATATATACCACATCTCCCTAATCCACTTATCTTAATTGTTATTCTATTAGCATAGTATCACAGCACACTAAAAATGCTTAAGTGTTGTTTGTTCTTTGGACATTTCGTAGCCTGCTAACATTCAGAGGAAGAAATTTTGCTGCATTGTTTCACAGAGGTGACTGAAAAGAAAGGCAAACAGGTATGTATAACTCTCTAATTACAAATCAGATAATATTGGAAGGTTGGCTAACATGTCTATGTCCTTTTCATTTGAGGAGGGGTTTCATTACTCTTTCCCTCTATCATATGTCAGTCTGATAACGTGATAACGGAGCCCCCACCCATGAGAAGTTCATAAAGTACTCTAAAAGTGATATTGCAGACTAAATTAGTTACACTAATCATTTTAGCTTTCTTTCAAACAAACAAGAATTTTCTGAGGAAGAAATTCTGAATAAAATGCCATGAAATCACAGGCCATGTTATAGCAAAGTCTAAGAATTTCTAAGATTTGCCCATGCAGGATAGTCAGTACCCCCTCTATCCATAGTCCTCACTTACATTCCTTAATCAGTGAAATGTAAAGTGATTGCATAAACTGATACAGGCATGTGTGTGTATAGGTAGTAATAAAGAAATACTATATATTACTATATATAGTATGTTAGTACATATATATTTTATATTGCTATATATTTAAAAAAATTGCTAAAAGTGATCTGTGACAGACATTATTTTGTTATTTATTGCTGAGTGATCTGTGACAGACATTATTTTGTTATTTATCCCACTGATTTCTTACAGTCCTGTGAAGTTACACAAATGAATTTGGGATGCATGGTAGATACCCTAGGGTAAATGTTAGAGTACTGGAATTCAGATGAGGAAATTAAGATTTAGAGATGCTAGACTATGACCCAGTTTGAGAGATCTAGTGAATCTTAAACCCAGTGTTCCGTGCTGCTTTACACACAGCTAAATTCTAGAAACTTTAATGCATCAGCAAACAAATTGTGACTGTATAAACAGTTCAGTTCCAGGCTTGTGCCTTCTTCAAAACTTTATAGCACAATTCAATGGTGTTGAGAAGATGAATAAGAACAAAAAAGAATGATTAGTTAGAAGCAAAGAGGTAACTGGTGACATTAAGAACGATACCAGTTGCCATATTTCAGTGAATCTGGATGTGTTTGGGGGTGGGGGAAGAAAAAAAAGAGAACAAGGAATTTGACTATGAAGGAAAGTAAAATGATGAAGTATTGTTGTAGGATGTAAGGCAAAAGGAATATTACTTTTAAATTGCTTAAGATGAGTGTGTTTAGTTGGGAAGGTGATATGTCCTATTACCTATTGTGTACTAGGCATTATATTAAGCAACCCTTATGTTAAAATTCCTAGTCTTCATAACACCTGTTTGGTAGATACTGTTATCTCTATTTACATATGAAGAAGCTGTGGCCTAGAGAGATTGAAAATAACTTTCTAAAGGTCAGATACTTGGGAATTGGTAGCTTTTCATCATTTTATTCTAATGCTTTACCCTTCACCACTGCTTTCTGCCCTAAGAGGTCAATAAAGTGGAATAGGAAGGGGATGGTTTTATGGAGTAAATTCACGTAACATATTTGGCCACTGGTTCCATTTGGCCTTTGCCTCAGCAGTCTGACAGTGCAATCAACCTCTCCTTTGTTCTCTGGTATTAGCCTTCAATTATGCTGCATTTCCTTCTATACTAAACAAGGTGGTAGTCTGAGTTCCTTTAATAATAGTGTTTTTTTCCCCTTTAACTTTACTGTTTTTTACATGTAAGATACATGAAGTTTTAGTATTTATCTTGAAATACTGATACTGGAAAAGGTAGAATACCTGAGTTTCAGGTAACTGACAGCTTTGTGAATACACATGGCATTGATTTGCAGATGATACAGGTAAGAACCTCGGTCATAAATAAATTTCAGGGACAACTTACATAAAAATTCTTGGTAGGAAATGGACTGAGCTGGGACGGCAATCATGAATGCCTGATGTGAAGAAAGCCTATGTCCACTGGAAATGTTTTGGGTTTTTCGGCAAGCGGTCTATATCTTAAGGTACTGAGAATTCACAAGTGGCAGGGAAGAGGAGGCAATCAAGGCCAAGGAGGCCAAGGAGGTCTCTTTGACTGGCTTTCCTTAATAGCTCTCCAGTTGCCATGAGATATGAGTTACAGTGGAGAGAGGGCAGGATGCCATGTACAAAACTTGGAAATACTTATGAAGTAGTGAGGCACTGAGAGAGGAGATTGTTTGTGCAGCCAAATTCAAAACATAACCTTTGAATTCAGAAAGCTTATAGCTGGCATTGTAGTTGATTCCCTCTATATATACAGTCTACCATGCACAGCTGAACTTGCTAACATAAGATAGCCCACAAAGATCTTCTTAATTCTTATTTTACCCATGAGAAAATTTAGACCAAGAACAATTAAATGATAGCTAATAAGTAGAATTGAGATCTAAACTCGTCTGACTGACTTTTCCTCCCTAACAAGCTGCCTTAAAGACTTAAAGAAGTTCTTGAGTTCATAGCTTTCAAACCAGGAGAAGATTCCCCAGTGAGAAGAGTCACAAAATACTATTAATAAATTATTTCAGATGAATTAAGCCTTATCTGGTCTCATATGATATTCTCTTCTCTCCTTATGGGACCTTAGAGAGCTTAGTGATTTTCCAAGGTTATATGGACATTCTATGGCAGAGCCAGGTGGCTTCACAGAGACAGAAGGAAAGAGAGTTTCCAGCCCACTCCTCACTAAGTGTGATCTGGGAAGGACTGAAAACTTAGTTTTTTCATCTACAAAATCGAAGACCTCAGGTGATAATTATGTTAATTTTTTATTATATATTTATATATATATTTTTATATCATTTTTCCTTTTTGTACAATATATGCTTTTTCTTCTTAAGGGTAGTCCCAGTAAAATTCCCACCATCAATTCACCCATGCATTGTTACCCTAGTCCCTCGTGTTCTTCCCTCCCCTGTTTTGATCCCTCTCCCTCCCTCTCCCCTGCAGTGTCTTTGATTGATAATTGCCTATTAATTTTTTTAATTTATTATAATTTTTTCCTGGTCCCTTATTTGGTTCCCATACATTCCTCCTATAAATGAAGCCATCCAATATTTTTCCTTTTTCCCTCTTTTTTTTAAAGATTTATTTATTAATTTATACAAGCAATAGGTACAGTCAGAAGCACGGGAGGGTGAGAGAATTCACCAGAGCCAGAGCGGGGAGCAAAGCAGGCAGAAGGATCGAAATACACTGCTGAGGGGAGCAGCGGGCGGCAGGAGAGGTCTGTGTGCCATGTGGGACCCTCCTCTGGTGGCCGGGGAGCAGCCGGTTGTGGGGGGGGGATGGAACCGGCGCTGCAGAGGCTGTGGGCATCTTCACAACCCAGAACTCAACTGCTGCGCCACTGGGGAGGCCCTTTTTTTCCTTCTGACTTCACTGAGCATAATCCCTTTCAGCTCCATCCAAGTTGCTGCGAATGGCATGAGTTTTTCTTTTTTGATTGCTGAACAGTATTCCGTTGTGTATATATACCACATCTTGATCCAGTCATCTATTTTTGGGCATTTGGGTTGTTTTCATATCTGACCTATTATGAAGACTAATAAACATAGGGGTGCAGGTATCTTTTTGAATTAATGTTTTTGTGTCCTTTGGGTAGATTCCTAAGAGTGGAATTGCTGAGTTATATGGAAGCTCCATTTTTAGTAGTTTGAGGAACCTCCACACAGCTTTCCATAGTGGTTGGACCAGTTTGTTTTTCCACCAGTAGTTCAGGAGAGTTCCCTTTTCTCCACATCCTCGCCAACATTTGTTGTTGCTAGTTTTTTTAATATGTGCCATTCTCACTGGTGTAAGGTGGTATCTCATTGTGGTTTTGATTTGCATTTTGCTGATTACAAGTGACGTTGAACATTTTTTCATATACCTGTTGGTCATTTGCATTTCCTCTCATCAGCTCTTTGTAGATCTTTGTGATCAGTCACTTATAA